GGGCCAACAAACAAGGCAAGGAGAGAGGGGGTCACCCCCCTCTGATTTTGGCTCTCAAAATAGTATGCTAGAGGGCCAAACCAAGCACAAAACCAAGGCCTAGATGCAAGGCTCAAAATAAGATGCAAACATGCATGCAGGGGGGGAGATGACCCCCAACAAAAAAATGACCTCAAACAATCTTCAAGAGGAGCTCAAAATAAGACTTTTTTCAGTTTATGTCAAGGCTCAAAAATGCTTTCAAGTAAGGCTAAGATATGAAGTAAAATAAGCCTTAAAAGAGGGATGAAGCATACAAGGGGGTAGATGACCTCTAACAGAAAAATGTCCTTAAACAAACTTCAAGAGGGACTCAAAATAAGACTCTTTTCAGTTTATGTCAAAGCTCGAAAATTCTTTCAAGTATAGCTAAAAGATGGATCAAAATAATGCTCAAAAAGGAGAAAAAATGGTTACCCTTGACGACCAGCAGAAACCAGCAGCCTCTGGACCCAAAAACCCAACCTTGAACCTCTGAAAATACCCTTCAAGGACCTTAGGTTGATGATGGAAGTGTTAGGCTATGAGAGGTGGTGCAAAGGGACCAAGAACCAAGCAATTTAGAGCTCAAAAGAGAGAGACATAAAGAGAGATATATTGTTTAGCCCTAGCAATTTTCTGAACCCTTTCAAGTGAGGGATATGGTTTTTCTTATAGAAAAAAAGGTCTAAAGCTTCTTAAAGAAGCTTCAAACCAAGGGCCAAGATCCTCCATACACGTGTATGGAGGATGCAGCAAATGCCTCCCAGCTGGCACAGGTGGAACACGCTCACTGAGACAAACAGGATGGGAGCTGGCCGACCAGTTCAAGTGGTCGACCGACCACTTGACCTGATCGGCCAACCAGGTCAAAAGGGTCAAGGTGGTCGGCCACCCCCTATGATGAAGCCCCAGAAGTTATCTTTCCAATGGTGCAAACCTTACATTAAAATTCCATCTGTGTAAAAAGTTATGCCTGTTTTGGTGAAGCCGCGCATATTCGGTCCAACCAGATTGATGCCCTACTTCAACCAACCATATCTCCCCCGTCCAGAGTTGGATTTAGGAGATTCTTGAGTGCAAAATGAAGCCCCGGAAGTCTTATTTCCAACGGTGGTGGCCTTATAGCTTAAATCCATGTGTATAGATAGATAAGCCTGATTTAGCGAGGACTGCTCGACTCTCTCTTAGCGATTCATGCCCATCCTCTTCCTCAACTAGGTTTCTTCTCTCCACTCTTCTTTTCTTCAACTTCAAACCCCCGAACAAGGTGTTTTGAAAGATTTTTCAAAGTTCTCATCTCTCTTTCATTCATTTCCACTTTGCCCTTGCTCAATTTACCGAAAAGCGCGACATTTAACAAAATGCGAGTGTCGAAATATCGTAGAACATTATTTTCAAAACGTTTTGAAAAAGAGTGTTTCAAGTCTAAAATCTTTTGATCAAGATTGTTTTGGTCCAAAAAAAGGGGTATGAAGTTGAGATTTGACTCTCTCCTTACCGAATAAACTGAACCATTGCCCTGCACACCTTTCTCCATCAAGTAAATCATCAATAGTGCCCAAGCCTTTGCCCTGCACACCTTTCTCCATCAAGTAAATCATCAATAGTGCCCAAGTTTTAAGGGCGGTCAAAAATGGGGTGTCTACATATAGCGACCCCGGGTCTCTACCCGACTGTCATGGTGTTCTGGATCAGAATTTTGTTGTTTGATGCTACCGGTTATGTCTTTCTTCCTTACACCTCTTGAATTTGAGTTTTGGAATGACTTGAGCATGTTTAGAATAGGTTGGTTGCCTTTTGGTCTAGAATCTTGTTGCCCAGAATTTCGGTCTTCCGCTCGAGCGGAGTTTTTGATCTTTCAGTATCAAGTATCTCTACAAAAGTGCTGCAAGAGTGTTTTTCACGCTCGAGCATGTCTGAGCTCGAGTGGCCCTTCTGGCGCTCGAGCGGCTGCCTGCAATTTGTGAAATACTGGACGGGTGTAATCCATGCTCGAGTGGTACTTCTTGCGCTCGAGCGAGTTGTTGTTGTTGTGTCTGACGCTCGAGCATGAAACTCTCCGCTCGAGCGGACTGCGCATATATCAGATCGTAAAAATGACTTTTTACATAACTTTTTCATCTCTTTTTCATCCAAACACTAAGTTGAGAGCTTCTATCTCTAGAAATACACTCTCTCTCTATATTTGACCTAGATCTAGTGATCTTCTCACCCTCCTTCCTTAGGCAAAAAGATTGAGATCTTCAAGATCTTCATTTCCATCCAAGAAGAAGTGGGATTTGCCATTTTTGGAAGCTTCACCTTTGTCTAGCCCTTCTCCTTGGGCTTCTACTTTGAGGTAGGAATATTCTTGAGTTATATATATATATATATATATGTTTTGCAAGTAAAATGTTGATTTTGTGTTCCCATTAAATTTGTTTTGAGAGTTTTGGTTATTGGTTCAAGGATGATGAGATTTCTCAAAGGAGAGTTTAAATATTTAAATGCTTCAAAGTTGAGCCTTGTGACTTCTTATTTTATTGTTTCAAAATGGTGATTTTGATGAGCTTCCATCATTAAGGGAAGAAATAATGAGTTTTTGATAAAAACCCTAGGAATTGGGGATTTTACAAAATAATGAAAATGTCTTTGAAATTAATTACTTCTTTATGTTAAAAAGTTGTATGAGAGTCAGTTCCACCAAATGTTTAATATAATAGCATTATACTTGAGCACCATGGGTTGTGAAAATTGAAATCTTGGAGGATGATGTTTGAGAATTTCATAAAATCGTGTAATGTTGTAAGATGACAAGTTTTTGAGGGCCCTTAATGATATGAAAATGTTTTAATCATAATGAATGGGAAAATGAAATGAATGAGGATATGTTGGCCATGTTGAAAGGTTGGTCATGATGAGTTGGTGTTGAGAACTTGTGGTGATGTTTTGAAGACACACGGTTATTTAGCGAAATGAGAAACGAAATTGTGAAAGTAGAAAAGTAATTGTTTATTATTGTTGTTAAGACGTTTTGAAAATAGAGGAATGTTGCAAGATGTTGATTTTTGCATCTCATTTCTGTTGAATTTTATATCATCAATGTGCATGGAGTGAATAATTACTATTGATACATTCTCATCATGTTACATGAGAAATATTATAATGTAATGAAAACTATGGTGAAGTGTATGGGATAAATATGGTGGTAAGTCCGGATAGGGGTGTAGATGATTTGATAAGTTGGCCCGAGTGTCCATGGTGAAAGACTAGAAAACAGCGCGGATAGGTGTCGAGCCTTCCAGTTAATACCAGTAAAAATGACAGTTTGGTAGTACTCGTAGAGTCTACTTGCAAACACCAGCCTAGGGATTACTAGTGTCGTATTTACCGCCTGCTTTGTTTAATGCTTGGAAATTTTGGGGAAAAATGTTGAGATTGCAAATGATTGTTGGAAAGATAGAAACTTTTAAATGTGCATGAAACGGACTTTCTTATAAGGGTGCATGGCATGGCATTAACAATTGCATGGTTTTAAAGAGTGTGCATAACTGTATATACTTTGTAAGAATTCTCTACTAGGCTTTGTGCTCACCCCTATGGGATTTGGTGTAGGTAAAGATGTGGTGATCCTGCCGAACTGAGGGCGTGGATGTTTTGGAGAAGAGTACATAGCTCTTTTATTTTGTGTAATTCTTTTGAGCTAAGGGCTAATGTGTATGGGTTGCAAAAACCATTTTTGTGTAACCAGGCTTATGCCTTGGAAGATGTAAGCCCTTAAGGGCATTGTATTGTTTTGAGAATGGATGCTTTACATGCTATAGATTCATATGTTTGTATTGATGAATGTATACCCGCATGTAAAACCTTTGTAAAGACTCATTAGTAATTATGTAAAGATGGGCAGATTATTGCTATTGTTGGGTAAATGTTGATTATTTGTGGGTAGTTCATGTTGAATTATTTCGGGGCGTTACAACTTGGTATCAGAACTACCGAGTTTGAATGCTTGGGGCTTGTGGGGAGTGGTTGTCATACCACAATGGGTTCATTTCGCATGATTAGGAAATGTTTTTCTTTTGTGATTATGTGACAGCATGTTTATGTGACTATGTGGGTAGGGGATTAGACTTTTGGGATGTTATCTGCGCCTATTAGATTCCTTGAGGTCTTAATAGAAGGGTACCTGATCAATACTCATTCTACAAAGAATTCTTGGTTTCTCATGGGACAAATCTCATCACTAAAGGATAATTCGTATGTGTTTATCTGACTAAGGCGCTTATGTGGAGTGAATTAAATTGTTTGTGTAGTAGGATGTATGTGGTTGCTTTAGCCTAACGTGTGAAGTTAGTGGCGACCACATTTGGAATCGTGTGCTTAATTATTTGTCTTGTCTCTCAATTAGGATGTCGGGAAGAGTTTGAACTCGAGGTGGTAGGGGTGGAAGGCGAGGTCGAGGTCGCCGGGGTGTATTTGAGGTGTCGGTCCAAGAGGTCCCGGTACAAGAAGAGAGTTTAGGCCAAGCTGACATGGCCAAACAAGTGGGACAAGCGGAGGTGCCGGGGCAAGCCGGCCAAGCAGCAATAGGGGCTCTATCCCGGGAGATGGCGGGGACATTAAGGAAGTCCATGAATATTTTGAGGGTGAAGACCCAAGCAAGGGAGAATGTTGCAGAGACTAGAGCTAGCTTCCTCACAAGAGAGTTTCTAAGGGCCAAGCCGGATGAATTCCATGGCGGCCTCGATCCAAAGAAGGCGGACGAGTGGTTGGAATAAACCGTGAAAACCTTTGATATGCTTCACATAGAGGATGGGGAGTTGAGGGTGACCCTTGCTAGCTATTACCTCAAAGGTGACGTCGGCCAATGGTGGAAGTATGCAAAGGGCCAGATAGCACCGACATGGGATGCATTTCTGACGGCCTTCCAAGACAAGTACCTACCTCCCATGGCTCGGGAGAGGTTGAGGCAAGAATTCAAGGACCTTAAGTAATTGAACATGTCCGTGGCCGAATTTGAAGCATCCTTTTCTAGTTTGTCCCGGTTTGCACCGGAGTTAGTAGCGACGGAGGAGCGTCGTTGCTTTGAGTTTGAGCAGTGGTTGAGGATGGAGATTTTGTTCAAAGTTGCCAGGAACATGATCCGAGAGTATGATCGCCTTGTGGAGGCAGCTGCACATGTGGAGATTACGGTTGAAGCCGAAGAGGAGAGACTTCGAAATTCGAGGTGCAGGGGCCATGGATCACAGGGAGATTATAGGCCCAACAAGAAGATTAAGGGTACCTTTTCATCCCAGTCTCAGCCGCAGCAGTCTAGATTTACTTTTTCCTTGCCTAGTATGGGCTCGGGAAAGCGTGCATCAAGCGGGTTCTCTTGTTTCAAGTGTGGCCAACCGGGTCACAAGGCCTTTGCATGTTCGCAGAAGGGAAGGGGACAGCAGATGTTGCCACCACCACCACCGAACCGATCCCAAAGCCAGTCTCAGTCTCAGAGTAAGGGGAAGGGGTCTACTTGTTATCAATGTGGTCAGTCAGGGCATATGAAGAGAGCTTGCAGGCAGTTGGAAGGCGCATCTGGCACATCCGGGTCGAGGCAGACCCAGAGTCATCAGCCGACCCATTCAGTCTAGACTTTGAGAGTCCATTAGGGAGCCGTTTCGGCTCAGTCAGTACAGCAGGCCTATGCTCCGAGGGATGAGCAGGTTGACCAGAGGCCACAGGGGTGCGTGTATGCTATTACAGCGCCAGAGCAGTTGCCAGGACCCTCGGTTGTGAGAGGTATTTTTATTGTGTGTAATTCTTTAGCCAATGTGTTGATAAATACGGGTGCATCTCATTCATTCATATCTGCTGCATTCGCATCTGCATTGGGATTAGAAGTGGCACAACTAGCATCTCCACTCAAAGTAGAGTCACGAGTTGGGGGTACAGTTGACTTAGACCGGGGGTGTCGTGATTGTGAGATAGAGGTTGCCAGGCGTAGACTCCCATTTGCTTTTGTGTTGCTAGACATGTCCAGTTTTGATGTCATTCTAGGCATGGATTGGTTGACTTCGTATCGGGCAGTGATTGATTGTTCTCGTCGGAGGGTCACAGTGTGCACCTCGAGTGGAGATTGTTTTTACTTTCTAGGGGACAAAAGTGATCGGGCCCTGTCGCCGGTATTTGATCCTAGTGGTAGAAATGAGCTTAGCGGTCTTCTAGCTACACTCTTGGATAGTCAGAGTGACGGATCCGAGTTGAGTTGCCAAGGGTGGTGTGTGAATATCCAGAAGTGTTTCCCGAGGACCTTACTAGTTTGCCACCCCACCGAGAGATTGAGTTCACTATCGACTTAGTGCCTGGAACGGCACCCATTTCTATGGCGCCGTATAGATTTGCACCCGCGGAGTTGCATGAGTTGAAGATTCAACTCCAAGAGCTTTTAGACAAGGGTTTCATTAGCCCTAGTACGTCGCCTTGGGGAGCGGGAGCACCGTCTCTCTTTGCGAAGAAGAAGGACGGGTCATTACGATTGTGTATCGACTACCGCAAGTTGAACCAAGTCACCGTCAAGAACAAATACCCTTTACCCAGAATAGACGACTTGTTTGATCAACTTAGAGGGTCTTGTTGCTTTTCGAAGATAGACTTGAGGTCGGGGTACCACCAGTTGAGAGTCCGGGAGGAGGACATCCAGAAAACAGCCTTCCGTACGCGTTATGGCCACTATGAGTTCCTTGTAATGCCTTTTGGGTTGACTAATGCACCGGCTTCTTTCATGGATTTGATGAACTGGATATTTAGAGAATACCTGGATCGTTTTGTGGCCGTCTTCATGGACGACATCCAAATTTATTCAGCTTCCGACGAAGAACATGAGGCTCACTTGAGGATAGTGCTTGACTTACTCAAGGAGCATCAGTTGTATGCCAAATTTGAGAAGTGTGAGTTTTGGCTCACCGAGGTGAAGTTTCTGGGCCATGTAGTGTCAAGTGAAAGGGGTAACTGTAGATTCATCGTAGATTCTGTGCAAGATTGGGAGCAACCTAAGAATGATTCGGAGTTTCTTGGGATTGGCGGGGTACTATCGGCGTTTTGTAAGAGACTTCTCTAGACTAGCCGCACCTTTGACTAGATTAACTAGAAAGAGGGTTAAGTTTGCGTGGAGTGAAACTTGTGAGAAGTCTTTTCAAGAGCTAAAGACTAGATTGACCACGGCACTGGTATTGATCATTCCAGAGAGAGGTTTGGGATATACCGTCTTTTGTGATACATCACGGGATAGGCTTGGTTGTGTTTTGATGCAAGATGGAAAAGTTATAGCGTATGGCTCCCGACAGTTGAAAACTCATGAGAAGAATTACCCGACCCACGACCTAGAATTAGCCGCAGTAGTGTTTGCCTTAAAGATTTGGAGGCGTTATTTGTATAGTGAGAAGTTTGAAGTTTTCTCCGATCATAAGAGCCTAAAATATTTGTTCTCCCCAAAAGATTTAAATTTGTGTCAATGAAGGTGGATGGAATTTTTAGAAGACTATGATTTTAAGTTGCACTATCATTCGGGCAAGGCCAATGTGGTGGCAGATGCCTTAAGCCGAAAAACTATCTGTTGCACTATCATCCGGGTAACTTTTTTACTTCTCTCTCTGTGACGACCTAGACTTGCTAATCGTGAATTTAATTAATTAATTATGTGTTAAATTCTAAATGAGATATGTGCCACGTGATTTAATTGGTTCATACATGTCCCAATTAAGAAACTATCTGTTGTGAACTTGGCTTTGAAACTAAAATTAACAGCCTTAATGGGTTCAGAAACTGAAATTGAGTACATGGATATGCAAATGGGAATTTTTAGAGCCATTTAGAAAGTTTAATTGAAAATTTATTTCTTCTGATTCATTAAGGCGTGTTTGGGTGATTTAATTGCAACTTTACACTGCAAATTGAAGGTCGTAGAGGCTTCAGAAACTAAAACGGAATACATAATTATAATCAGCATAATTGTTAGGACTTAATATGAAGTTTTACAAAAAATTGATTCAAAATGAATTAATTTGACTATATTAATTTAATTATGTGTTTAAATATAATTGTGATATTGAGAACATGTGTATGGATATGAAAAAATATTTGGAATGAATTGGTTACATGAATAAATTATTTGGAATTTTTATAACACTAGGATCAGTTTAATTGGAATTGATTCAGTTTACTGAAACTGTCTGTGATCGGATTGAGCCTTAATTGGGACTATTCTGAGTAAATTGAGTTTATGATAACTTTGATTAATTGTATTTTCCCAAGGTGTTGCATGATTAGTATCTAATTCAACTCTATTCATGATTTAAAATTTGATTAAGTATAGTAAGCGTTTGGGCATTTTGTGATGGTGAGTGTAGGAGATCAAATTATGGTGGGTGTATTGAGATCCCTGTGTGTGTGCAGAGAAATCAGTGTGGGTGTGTATATGTGACTACACATGTTGTGCAATTCAAATGTGAGGGTGTGTCTATAATCTGATGCTTATAATGAATGTTTTTATTCATTTGGTTCATTGTGTTGAGCATATGGAGAGAAAGGAAGAGAACTCATCTAGAGAGAGAGAGAGAGAGAGCTATTGAAGAGGAAAAAGAAGAGAGCTAGGAAGAGACCATCCTATAATTTGAAATCAAGCTCCAGGTAAATGTTTATTAATGAATTAGACTCATCATATCTTTGGATTTAAGAAAATTATGGAGTTAATGGAAGAGAGAGCTCATAGATGATGAATATGGAAGATTAGCTCACATGCACAAACATTTATGTGTTCTAGTGTTGAATTCGTGGAAGTAATTTGGTCTCTTGCGTATGTTTTGTCATAGAAAGTCAAGACATAGTTGAATTAATTCCTTTATGCATGGCATGAACTCATTAAATTCTTGTTATATCATGTAATTTCTTGCATGAACTTCATGGATTCTAAAGTTTTCAAAAAGATTTCTTGAGCTATGAGATTGAAGAACATCATTTCTTGCATGGTTTTATAAGAAATCTTCAAAGTGTTGGACTTAGAACTCATATATGTATGATTTCATAATTTTCTACTTTAAACCCAAAAGTTTGATCCTTGCATGGATGATTTCATGAAGATTTATTTATGTACTTTGCAATTCATGCATAGGTTTTCAAGAGTGAAGGAAAATGTCATGGATTTTGAGGATTTAAATTTAATCAAGAAGAAATCTTACATGTTTAGAGTTGTTCTTGAATAATTACGGAAGAAATTGTAGACTTTGAGCTTATCTCTCCACATGCATAGCATTGATTCATGAAAATATGTTCATAAAATTGTTTTTCTTGCACGGTTCTTGAAATTGGAAGAATAAACTTCATGAATTTCAAAGATTGGAACTCTAAGGTGCATGGATTATGTTTTTCCCTTGAAATTCAAGGGTTTGATCTTTTTACATGGAATTAAGCTTCAAATTGAAGTTATGATTTTATTTGAAGTTAGACTTGTATCGTGTTATGTGCATTATAATTGTAGGTCACGAGTCAAAGACCGCACAATCGTTACTGGAAGCCCACTATGAGTAACGTTATTGTAAAGATATGTTCATATGAATTATGTACCAATTGTGATTTGATAAGTTATGATTTCTGAAATGATATTTGTTTACGTGAACGAATGTCCTATGTTGAAATCTATTATGGCATCCATAGATAGTCCCAAGTCATGGGGGACGGTATGTTTATGCGGGTCCATGACATATATGTGATTACGAGATCTCGTTAGCCACATCATTGTGGTGATATGTGTTTAATCGGTATCCGGAACCGATTACTCTAGTTGGAAGACGATATGTGATATGTTTTGTTGGATGTACCATTATTATGTCCTGATTTGAGACTGATATGATTGATATGTATGGTATGGTTTTCTTTATACATTATGATGTGGAATTCGTTCACTTACCTCTTTACTTTAATGTTATTCGCTAGGCTTTAGCTCGCTGTTTATATATATGCATATATATATATATATATGTATAGGTGAGCATTCTAGAGGACAAGTCTAGAAAGAGTCATTAGTCAAGCCACTGTTTTGAAGCCTACCACGTGGTTTTGAGTGCCTCAGAGTTGAGGTTAGGCCTAGAAGGCCGTTGTCAAGCTTTTGATAATGAAGTATACTTTTGCTATGTGCATATGTTATGTATAAGATGTTAAGTTATAAGTTATGTACTAAATGTGGGTAAACTAACGTTTTTGCATGTAAATATTTGTCCATATAGATATACAACTCATTGGACTATCGGTGTTTTTGAATATTGCATCCCCTAGCCCCGATTATTTATTTTTTTTTATTTGTACAGGAAGGCCTTTGGTAATCACAGATTACTGGTCGGTTACGATGTTGAACCTATAGGGGCAAGTTTGGGTCGTGACACACTCTCTCTATACTTATCTTTTTCTCTTCGTTCTCTCTACAAACACACCCAAATCCAAGCTTCTCTCTAAGATTTAGCAAAAATCTTCAAGAATTTGAGAGGGCTTTTTACACCTATTTGAAGAGGGTGGCGAGGGCTACGTTTATACCGATTGAATCGAGTTTTCATCAACGTTGAGGTTTAGAGTTTACATCTCCTTCCTCTCCCAAGCTTGAGGT